GGCGCGCCTGCCAGCCTCCTCCTCCGCTTGGCGATCGCCGAAGGCGCCGCGCCGAAGACCTTGCGCGCGTGCGCCGCCCGCGGAAGCGAACCTCGACGGACCGCCGCTCGCGCTCCCCCTCGTGCCCTTCGCCCAGCGCGAGGCGTCCGCATGGCCTTCTCCGCCTGTCCGTCTGCGTGCTTGCGCTTCCCCTGCGCAGTGTTGGCCCTGTCCGCCCCGAGGTCCGGCGCTCGCTCCTGCTGCATAACCGCAACGTTGCGGCTCTTCATGTCGAGCGCAATCTCCTGCGCCGCCTCCCCGTCGTTGCCGGCGGCGGCGGACTTCGCGGACAGCGACAGCTTCGCCTTCTTGGCGCCCGCTGCGAAGTCCACTCCTGCCCTCGTCAACTGTCGAACCAACTGCGCCCCCGAGCCGTCGATCCTCTCGGTGATTTCGTCGGCCCGCGGCCGGGCGTGCGCATGCGCGTACTTATTGCTCGCTGTCTCCAATGCCGCGCAGACCGCGGCCCCGAAGTCGGCCCCTCCCCGATCGCCGGCGCAGGTGGGCCTCTCGGGCGCGGTGGGCCCCGCGCGCGCCGCCCTCCTCCCTTGCGAGCCCGGTGCTCGGGTGCCCAGCATCTCCAGGTGCGAAGTGCGCGCTGAGGGCTCGAGCCGGATGGGCGCCTTCGTCCAAAATCAACACCGGCTCCAATGCGTCGTGGAACTCCGCCAGGTCCCAGAACATCGTGACCGCGTCGATCTTCTGCGGCGCCCGATGCGCCCCCTTCGCGTCCGTGCATTCCGCCATGTTGTGCGCCTCCATGCCGTCGACGCGGATCTCGTTGTCGCGACTCGGCTGGCCGTTCGTCGTCCGATGCAGCCCCCCTGCGCCTGTCGCCTCCTGCTCCTGCGCCCAGGTTGCGCAGCCGATCGGCGCCCCCCTGCCTCCGCGCGCTTGCTTTGCTTCGCCGCGGCGAGCGCTGTCGCGCCCTACTGATGCAGCGGCGCACTTCTCATGGCGTTGATCTCGATGGGCGCCGCCCTCCAATTCCGCTTCTGCTTGCCGACGTCTGGATGACGCCGCCCGCGGGCGCTGTGCTGGCGATGCCTTTGCACGAGCCCCTCAGCTTAGACGCCCGCGGACCCTTGCCCTCGCGCCGTTGAAGCTCCGCCAGCCGCGGCGACGTGCCCCCCCCAACCGCCTGATGGACTGGCCCCAGCCATCCCCGACGTCGATCCCCAGCTTGACGGCGCTGAGGTTGAAGTTCATCTCCTTCCCGCGCCCGCAATTGTGCTTGCGCTCCCTCGGCTCGATCCGCTAGGCCGCGACGTAGAACTGCTCTACTCCGTGCACCCAACTGCCGTACTTGATGCCTGGCTTTCTTGACGTGGCATCGTTGAGCTGGTGCGCCGCTGTGATCATCACGTACCGTGGCGTTGTGCGCCACACCTTGCGGTCCCCCTTCGCCGCCGTCTCGAATTTGTCCTTCCATAGCTCGTCCCCCTCGCCCTCGTTCAGATCGAAGATATCGTCGGACCTCCCGAAGGTGTCCTGCTCCTCCTCATCGTCGCTCGTCTCGAAGTCGTCGAATATGTCCTCCACGTCGGCGCTCTCCCCGCAGATCCTGGCCAGCTCCTGACAACTGACCTTCAGCTCACCCAACCATCGAGGGATGCTCAGAAGGCTCGATGGCCAAATCCACTTCCCTCATGATGTGATTGTCCGGCTCCTCTTTCTTCTTCTGCGACCAGTTGTTGTTGGGGTCGGCCTTCCGCTTGGGCACGTTCGGTAAGGGGAATGGCTTCGGCAAACGCAGCGCCCTCTGCACCGCTGCCTTTGCGTCTCCTCGCAGATGCGCTCGCGTTCTGCAGTGGCCACCAGGATGATGGTGATGCTGATGTTGTTGTTGATGGTGATGATGATGATGGCGACGACGACGACGCCGATAATTAGGATGATGGTGATGGTGATAGTCATGAAGATGATGACGCTGATGATGTTGATGATGGTGATGATGATGTTTATGATGGTGGTGATGCTGATGAAGATTATGCGTGTGAGAGAGGAAGAGAGGGGGGGGGAGGAGGAGGTGGATGAGGAGATCCTGCGCGGGGTGTGTGCAGAGAAAACAAGAGCCTCATTTTGGATGCGGGCAACAGTCGGTCCAGGCTTCCAAAGCCCCAACCCCGAGTAACAAACCACAGCTGTGCGGCAAAAGACCCTCTACAGCTTCAAACATGGACCAGAAAGAGAGAGCGGCATGGATGATCATGAGCCGAAGGTCCCCCCCCAACGGAATGGGCCCCAGGGTTCCACAGCGCAGCCCCGCCCCCAGATGGGATGGGGGGGGCGATGACGAACGACGACGGCGACGAAGCAGACGCCGACGCCGACGCCGACGCCGACGAATCAACCCACACCCACAGGGGGGGGGAGCACCAGCACCCTCCACCACGCTACGCCCACAGGACACGAACACAAGGGGGTGGGGGAGCGATCCCATTCGCGAGGCCTTCGCGGGGCTCACGGGCGAACCCATTCAGCAGGGGGGCGGCTCGATCCCATATGCGATGGTGTGTGTGTGTGTTTGTGTGTGTGGGGGGGGCGGCAACCTTGGATCATAGACGGAACCACCTAGAATGATCCCAATACAGAAAACCAGAATAGAGCATCTAGCATAACAGTGAAGGGATATGGGTAGGGGTGTGGCCACAAGGCTAAGGATATAGGGATGGGGATCGGGACGGATGGGTATAGAGACCTTGGGATAGGGAGGCAACGGAAGACAAAAGAAGACAACTGGAGACACGGGAGACAGAGGGAGACAACGCGAGACGATGGCGCCCGACCGACTTTGGATCACGGTCGCCCCGTGCTCGGTTTCCGACATGAGGGGCGACTTTCGTAGGCAAGCTGTTTAGGGCACTTTTGGGCCCGTGCTCCCGAGGCCGCGACTCCCGAGGCAGATGTCCTGGGCCTGCGATCACGAGGCCACGGCCCGCGCTCCCGAGGCCACGACACCCCATGCAATCCGATGGATCCACGCTCCCGAGCTTCTCCAAGGTGGCCGCTGCAGGCCACCAAGACCGCCAACTCATCCAGGGTGCCTCCCAGACGGCTCAAGATGATGCCACGGCGGCCTCAAGGCAGCCCAAGAGGCCCCCAAGACGGCCCAAGAGGACCCCCAGCACGGCCCGACGAACCCAGCGTCATGGATTTTCCTTGGGTGTTTCAAAGGTTTGGGCGCCTTCGCATTGTCGGGCTTACTGCAGCTCCAGACGGACCTAAAGGCCTCCAGCATTAACCCAAATACGGACCAAGAAAGCCCACGAATGGCCAACGTATGCTTCAAAACTGCCTCAGGACAAAGACGGCCTCAAGCTGGCCCAAAAGACCCTCAGGACGGGCCCACGACTGCCTAGAGCCTCAGAGAATCCCTCGACGGATCAAGACTGCTCAAAGACGGCCGCTGGAGACTCCCGATATGGCCAAGAGGGCCTCAAGACGTCGCAAGAGAGCTCGAAGACGGCCCAGGAGGGCTTGAGAACGGCCCAAAGTGGCCCAAGGTCCCGATACTGCCCCACAAGAAACCAAGAATACCATACGACCAATTAATTCTGCAGACCGCCGTCCGGGCCTAGCGCAGACAAGGCGGGTGAGGCCGCGGCCTCCGGACTCACGACCGCCTGGACACGTGCAATGCGAGACGAATGACAAGGAGGATGAGGATGAGGATGAGGATGATGCTGATGATGATGATGATGATGATGATGATGATGATGATGAGGAAGCGGAGGAGGATGAGGATGAGGATGAGGAGGAGAAAGAAGGGGAGGACGAGGAAATCTGTGCTATCGATGTAGGCGCGAGTTGTATGCTCCGTTTCAACATTCGCTAGGTATTCTCGCTATTGGTCTTGGGCACTTGCTCGAGTGGGGTCGGTGAACTGGTGCTCGAGCGCCGTCCACTTGACGGCGTTTTGGGCTATTTGCACCCATGGTGTTGTCGTTCGGGTGCCCTTCTCCATGGGTAGATGTTGGCGGTCGGTAGAGGTCTGGCCTGCGTTGACGTAAGTAGGTATTGATTTCGTCGTCCCAATGCTTGCGTTGGCCACCGTGCTGTCTTCGGCCGTGCTGACGTGGATTGAGGCCTGGTTGCCAGCGTAGCACTCGCTGCTTTCCGTGTGTACATCGTCACCCAACTGTCCTTGCGGTCGTGTCTCATGCGCGTCGTGTGGCATGCTGAATGCATCCAACCCTCATTCCACCGCCTCTACATTGGTTTCACCCTCGTCTCCCTCGCTGTGCCGATCAAATTGTGCCGCGCTTCGGCGATTTGCTGTCCGCGTCGTCGCTGGTAGTGTCTGGGCTGTGATCCTAATCTGGTTCTTCATTTTATTGTTCCGTCGACAGCCGTAGTTCCCTGGTCGCTGTGAAGGTTTGCTTGGTTCGTTGTGCTTTGGCGCGGTCCCCTGGTCATCATGCGAAACGTGCGTCGCTGTGTCGGTCGAACGTGCTAATGGAGGGGCTCCTTGATCGCCGGGGGAAGGGACATAAGGAAAGGATGATAAGGAAACCCCCGAGAGGACGCGGAAGATCGTGTTACAGCGCTCCCGAGTCTCAGAACACGAGGCGTCACACGTTACAGCATCCTGCGCGCCCCCCGAACAGTCGCCACTCAATGTCCTGGGCTGGCACGGTGGCGCGACTTGCCGCAGGCTGCTGGATATGCTCCGCATCTATCCTGGGGCCCCTTGGAGTTCTCCCAGCGTCCGTCCAGGCCTGGTTCGAGCTGCGTCCAGCAGTGGTGGCAAACGACCTCCGAAACGAAAGGCACCGATGTCGCCGACGTCGCCTCGCTCCACTCGGCAGCGAGCGAAGGAACCCCCCTGCCTTCTGACAAGCGCTCCGTGACTTCGGGGAAGACTCAGCAAGCTGCGTCGGCCGAAAGGCTTCCGAGCCCTCTGAGCAGGCCCGGGTCCCCTCGCTTCCGCCCGGCCCGCCGCCGACTCGCGGCGAGGCCTCGAAGTAGTCCACGCTGGCGGCGGAGCTCGCGGGCGGGACGGCCGCGCAGCCCTGGCACCAGAAGAACTCCGGCCCGGGCAGGGGCGACGCCCCGCAGCGGTCGCAGCTGGCGAAGGGGCGCGCCGTGCGCCAGGCAGGTGCTCGCGAGCCTGCCCGTCCCTCTGGCGCCCCGCTCTGCCGGGGTTGGGGGCGACGGGGGGCGGAGCAGGAAGGAGGAAAGGGAGAGGGGGCGGAGGAAGGGGGGCCGGGGGGGGAGCGGGGTCGGAGGGGGGCGAGGCGAAAAACCGGGGGGGGGGGCGCACGAAGTCGGACGAAATCGGATCCACGCGCGGGGCTGCAGATGTCCCTGCCCGCATCCGTGTGGCGGGGAGAGCTGCTAGGAGAAACGGGAGTAAGGGGGAAGAGAGGAGACGGGAGGAGAGGCGGAAGGTGGGGGTAATAGGAGAAGGGAGGCAAGAGGGAGGAGAGGAGGAGGGACAGAAAGAAAGAGAGAGAGAGAGAGCGAGAGAGAAATAAAGAAAAAAGAGAGGGAGAGAGAGAGAGAGATAGAGAAAGAGAGAGAGAGAGAGAAAAAAAAAAAGAGAGAGACAAAGAGAGAGAGAGAGAGAGAACAAAAAAAAAGGAGAAAGAGAGAGAGAGAGAGAGTGCACCGGTTCGGACCAGGTCTTCCAGGCCCCACGGCGTGTTAGGGCTGCGCCATCCTGCCTCGCAAGGTGGGGGGGCTATCCTCTGCCCTGGCGCGGCCAGTACGACAGCGACTGGAAAGCAAAGCGGGTCTGTGGTGAATCGACCACTCAAGGGCCCGTCTGCGCAATCGAAAATAGGCGCCGGCTGCGAGCGCGCGTTGGCATGCGCGCCTCGGTACCTCAGTGAACCAAGGCGCGGCGTTGGAACAGACCACGCCTTGGAGGCCCATTGGACCACGAACGAACCAAGACTCCGAGAGGCTGGCGCTGGTGTGCTAGCGGTGAGCATCGAGGCGCGCCCGGTGGGTTGCCTGGGGAGAGGCCCCAAGAAGAGCAGGCGAACAAAAGGCGTGATGAGGGTCTGTGGTCTTTGGCTCATCGTAAGGCGGGGTCCTCACTGTTCTTGTGGGTGCTGCGCAGGATATGATCAAGGGTGGTGGCGCACTGATGCAGCGTAGCGCTGCTGGTTGCGAGGGCAATATCGCGATCAACGTCGGCATATTGACTGGCAACTGTGAGGCGCCGCGTGGCGCGATTCCGACCGGTGGACTGTGCTGGAGCCACTCGGATGCCTTCAACCTGGCGGGTGGTGCTAGGGCCGTGAGGCCCCGTGCCCTGGTGGGACTGGGCAGCGGCCTGATTGCAGAGCGCGCTGCGTTGAGGGCCTGGATGCGCGGCAGCACTGTCCAAACCATCGGGTTGCGGCGGCGGCGCTGGCCCGTCAGGGGGCCCAGCGCGCGACTCGTCGCCGACCCCGCGCGGGTCCTCCCTCAGGTCGTTTGCGCCTGGGGCGGGGTCCTGGTGGCCGCCCGCCCGCAGTGGCATTGGCGCCCCGCGCCTTCTCGGCGGTCCAAACGGTCGAGCCCCCATGCGACCTGCGCGGTCGGCAGCCTGACGCCTGGGGCTGGCCCCTGGTGGCCACTGGTGGCCCCCGTCCTCCAGCGGCGTCGCGGCCGCGAAGGGACGAAAAAAAAAAACACATGAACGGCCCACGCCCAGGCCATCGCTGTGGTCGTCGACGCCGTCGTCGTCATCGTACTTGCACAGTTACTGTTCAGAATCCCTACCAGCATTACGACTACTACTACTACTACTACTACTACTACTACTACTACTACTACTACTACTACTACTACTACTACTACTACTACTACTACTACTACTACTACTACTACTACTACTACTACTACTACTACTACTACTACTACTACTACTACTACTACTACTACTACTACTACTACTACTACTACTACTACTACTACTACTACTACTACTACTACTACTACTACTACTACTACTACTACTACTACTACTACTACTACTACTACTACTACTACTACTACTACTACTACATTGTTACAAATACTACAACTCCTACCCCTCCTCCTCCTCCTCCTACTACTACTACTACTACTACTACTCCACTGCTGGTGCTGCTGCTGCTACTGCTACTACAGTTACTACCACTACTACTACTACTACTACTACTACTACTACTACTACTACTACTACTACTATACTAGTACTACTACTACTACTACTACTACTACTACTACTGCTACTGCTACTACTACGACTACTTACTACCACCCACCACTACTACTACTACTACTACTACTACTACTACTACTACTACTACTACTACTACTACTACTACTACTACTACTACGACTACTACGACTACTACGACTACTACGACTACTACGACTACTACTACTACTACTACTACTACTACTACTGCTACTACGATTACTACGACTACGACTAGTACAACTACTCTAGGACGACGGCGACGACTACTACTACTACTGCTACTGCTACTGCTGCTGCTACTACTGCTACTACTACTACTACTACTACTGCTACTGCTACTAGTACTACTACTGCTACTACTACTACTACTACTACTACTACTACTACTACTACTACTACTACTACTACGGCGATCAATCGCTGCGCGCGATCACTCGCGCGAGCCCAAGATGAAGACGAAATGCCGACTCGATTGGAGATGTAGCGAATTGTCTTGCAATCCTTGTGCAATCAAGCTCGCAAGTCCTCTGTCACGCATGATAGGTAGCCCAGGAGACATTATCCACTAGGAAGAACAACCACTCAACAATATTGACGAACGTGCAGTGGTAAAAAAATGGTCGCAGGCGCCGACAACTAAGGGGGCGCCGACAACTAAGGGAGCGCCGCAAGTTAGAAGGGTGCCGACAACTAAAAGGGAGCCGAAAACCCAAAGAGCGCCGAAAACCAAAAGAGCTCCGAAAAGCAAAGGGGCGCCCAAAACCTAATGAACTCCGAAAACCAAAGATGCGCCGAAAACCAAAAAAAAATGCTCCAAAAACCGAGGAGGTACCGAAAACCAACAAAAACGCCGAAAACCAAACGAGCGCCGAAAACAAGAGCAGCGCCGGAGACCAACAGGGCGCCGACAACCAAAAAACACCGAAACCAAAATGGGCGCCAGGACGCCAGAAACCAAAAGGACACCGAAAACCAAAGGGCGTCGACTACCAAAAGGTCGCCAAACACCAGAAGGCACCGAAAACCAAAACGGCGCCGGAAACCAAAGGAGCGCCGGAAACCAAAGGGGCGCCGAAAACCACAAGGGCGCCGAAAACCAACGGACCGCCGCAAACAAAAAGAGCACTGAAAACCAGAGTGTCGCCGAGAACTAAGGAGGCACAGAGAACCAAAAGGAGGACGAGAAACAAAAGAAGCGCAGAACACAAAAAAACGGCACCCAAAACCAACGATGAGCCCGGACACCGAAGGGGCGCACGAAACCACCAGGAAACAGGGGCGCCAAAACCAAGAGGGCGCCGAAAAACGAAGGGGCGCCGAAAATCAAAAGGAGCACCGAAAACCAAAGGGGCGCCGAAAACCAACGATGCGCCGAAAACCAACAGGGCGCCGAAAAACTAAAGGGGCGCCGATAACCACAGAGGCGCCGAAGACGAAAGGAAACTCCGAAGACGGACAGTGAACCGAAAACAAAAAGGGCGCCGAAAATTAAAGGGGCACAGAAAACCGCAGGGATGCCGAGAACCAACGGACCGCCGAAAACAGAAAGGGCGCCGAAAACCAAAAGGGCGCCGAGAACCAAGGAGGCACAGAAAACCAAAAAAGTTGACGAGAACCGTCAGAAACGCAGAACACTGAAAAAGGTACCGAAAACCAACGAGGAGCCAGACACCGAAGGGGCGCACGAGACCAAAAAGAAACAGGGGCGCCCAAACCAAGAGGGCGCCGAAAACCGCAGGGGTGCCGAAAACCAAAAGAGCGCCGAAAACCAAAGGAGCACCGAAAACCAAAGGGGCGCCGACAACCAACGATGCGCCGAAAACCAAAATGGTTCCGAAAAACGAAAGGGGCGCCGATAACCAAAAAGGCGCCTGAGACGAAAGGGGCGCCGAAAACAACATAAACTCCGAAGACGGACAGGGAACTGAAAACAAAAAGGGCGCCGAAAATTAAAGGGGTACCGAAAACCGCAGGGGTGCCGAAAACCAAAAGAACGCCGAAAACCAAAGGGGCGCCGAAAACCAAAGAGGCGCCGAAAACCAAAGATGCGTCGAAAACCAAGAGAGCGCCGATAACCAACAGGGCGTCGAAAACCGAAGGGCGCCAGAAACCAAAGACGCGCCGAAACCGAAGGGCGCCCAAAACCAAAGGGGCGCCGGAACCGAAAAAGAACGCCGAAAACCAACGATGCGCCGAAAACCGTAAATGGTCCGCAGAAAACCAAAAAGGGGCGTCGAAAACCAAAGGAGCGTCGAAAACCACAGGAGCGTCGAAAACCAAAGGAGCGCCGAAAACCAACAGGGCGCCGAAAATCAAATAGGAAGAGTAGCTTCGACCCCCCCTTCAGCCAGGGCCCTCCAACGGGGAGCCCGGGCTTACCCTGGGCCCCGAAAAGGAGGGGGGGATGGGGTAGCTTCCAAGCCCCTCCCTCCTTTAGCCAGGGACCCCAGCTGCAACATCCAAACAAAAAGAAGGGGTGTGGGGAGCTTCGGAAGCCTCCCCCCTTTGAAAGGGGAGCCTAGGCTGACCCCGAACCCCGACAAGGGTGGGAGGGGGGGTAGCTTTCAAGCCCCCCCCCCTTAGGCAGGGCCCCCCAGCTAAAGACTACGCACAACAGGGGGGGGAGGGGGGGGGAGTCTAGGGAACCCGCCCCTCTTATTCCAAGGGAGGCGGGGTAGCTTGAAGCTGGGGCCCCCCTTTCAATGACAAGTGTGCCACGAGCGCGCTCTTTCGGAGCCATCTAGGTTCTTCAGCCTCCCGGCGCGATCCCAACGCGCTTCCAGGGTTCCAGAACCTCACTCGCGTGTCGATGGGCCGCCCTGGGAGCCACATGTATAGGATGTCCTTTGCGTGGGAGGACGAAGGGGGGGACGGAAAAACGAGTTTTGTTCCCAGCCTGGGGCTTGGAGGGGTCAATATTAAACACCTGGGTCGCGTGAGTACTGTCGTGGGGGGCAGGTGACGTGGAAGGTGGTGGCGCTGTCGGTGGCGTTTGCCGCGCCGTGGTTGTCGTTGAAGTTTCGCCTTGTTTCGCCCTGTGCCCCATCCTGGATGGTGTACCCACAGAAGGGGTTGGCGCTGGCTGCAACGCCGGAGTCCAGGGTCCTTTAGCGGCAGTCGCACCCCCCCCGTGGCAACTGCTGGGAAGATGACGACGGGGCCCAAGGATCGTCGGTCGTTGTGTTGGCCCGGGCAGAGTGTTGGGCAATGCTACTGGTGTGCGAGATCCCGTGGTCGGTCCTCGTGAAAGGAGGCGCGATCGGGATTCGAGGCTGCCTGGAAATGCTGTGCCATTACTCCAGATTTCGTAATAAAAGGGAGGGGGTCTGGACCCTCCAAGACAAGCCATTTCAGACCTCCCCCGTGGGGGAACCCTCCAAAACATCGTCCCCAGACCCCCCAGGCCCTCCAAGATAGCCTGGAAGAGACCCCCCCCCGAAATGAGACCCCCCTCCCTTTATTACGAAATCTGGAGTATCCTGGCGGGTGCAATAGCGGCGGGGGCCCTGAACCCAGGTGGGTCACGGCTGCTGCCCGTGCTCCACGTCGGGACGGTGTGCGGCTTGGTGCAGCTGGCAGATGATGTTGAGCTGCCTGCGCGCTTTCATGAAGCCGCTTCTGGGCCAAGGCTGGTTGGAGCGTTGTTGTTGGTAACCGGTCTCTAAATCGGTTGAGTGTTTCTGGACCAGCTCTTCGCAGGCTGCAACAGACTGCAGGGCGTTCCTTCCCTGCAGGGGGCCATCACCCCGGGGCGCGGTCACCATATGCCGCGAGGGCTGGGGCTGGGCGGCTAGCCGTTGTACTCAACCCACGGGGTCGCTCTACCCAGTGAAAGAAAGGCCGGAAGGCCACATAGGGGAGGCGGCCGTGAGGGTCTTCATCGCCGCCGAGCCCGCCGGCACGCCGGGTGGGCTAATTCGGTGCACGCTGGACCTTTTTCTTAGGTTGAGGCGTCTGTCAACCTGTCAGGTTCTCCGGCGGGGGCATCGGACCTCGCTCCTTTGCTAATTTCGCGTACCCCAAGAATCTTGGTCCAGGGGCATCCGCTTGAGTCCTTTGCCCCAGTCTGTGAGTAGCGGCACCGTGGTTGCTCATCGCCTGCGCCCTCAAGGGGCGCTAAAACTCGGTCTGGAGGAGGGGCCCCTCGAGGGCCGCAAAACCTCGCGCGCGGCTGCAACAGACTGGTCTGCGCCGCCCCTGCCTTGGAGAGCAGCGGTGCAGACCTCCACGCGTTCGACAGGGCTCTCTGGGCAGGAGGTTTGGCGGCCCTTGCCTGGTGGCTTGGGCTGAGGAGGAGGAGGAGGAGGAGGAGGAGGAGGAGGAGGAGGAGGAGGAGGAGCAGGAGGAGGGAGGAGGGAGGAGGAGAGATGGCCTTTGTCGCAGTTCCACGCGCATTTCCACGGCGAGCTCCCTCGGGAGCGACTTCGGCGCGTGCGGAAAGATGGACACGACGCGAGTCCGTCACACCGTGGGATGCGGAGTGTCCAGTCTCGCCATGCGCGGCGGAGAAAGGTGCTGCCTGCGCGCTGGGGGCCTCGCGTCGCGGCTGCGCTCCGGGTCAGGGGCCCTCGATCCGAGACTGGACAGAGAGAGACAGAGAGACAGAGAGAGAGAGAGACAGACAGAGAGAGAGAGAGAGACAGAGAGAGAGAGAGAGAGACAGAGAGAGAGAGAGAGAGACAGACAGAAAGAGAGAGAGAGAGAGGGGGGAGGATGGAAGGAGGATGGAGGGAGACGGGCGGCGGGTGGAGGAGGGATGAGGGAGCCATCAGCAGGAAGGAGTCAGGAGAAGGGCAGGAGGAGTGATGGGGGAAGGAGGGGGAGGGAGGAGTGCGGAGTGAAGAGGCAGGGATCGGGGACGAGGGAGAAGGGGGAGGAGGGCGAAGGTGGAGGAGGGAGGAGCGGGGTGCGGCGGGTGAGGACGGGAGGTGCCAGCTTCTCCTCGAGCTCCGTTTCTCTTCCTCACCTGCCCGTCCTCTCAAAGACCTTCTGGCTCAAACTCAAACTTCTCCTGCTCCTCCTTCTCGATCTCTTACTCCTCCTCCTCCCTCCTCTTACCCCTCCCTCCTCTTCTGATTTCTCCTGCGTGCGTTCCTCCTCCGATCTTTTGTCGTTTCGTCTTCTACTGCTTCCCGTGCGGAGGCGCACGCAGATATACCCACGCCCCCATCTCACTGGGATGAAAAGAACAGGAGGGAGGAGTATAATGTAGGCGGTCGGAAGAAGGTGAGAGGAAAAACGTGAGAGTAAGAAAGCAGTGACCAAACACACACACACATAATGCGCGATGTGAACTGCGCATCCCGGCGCTCCTCTGAACGCCTGCAACATGCTGGCGGCTGGTCGACCCGCAAGCAACTGCCGAAGCTCGAGCCGAAGCGGAGAAGAGAGACGGGAGCCGTCGGCAACGATACCCACTGGAATTCTCAGCGATGCCGTCACGTGCATGGCAGCGAGAAAGTCTCAATGTGTGCGCGCGACGCTGTCCAATGTCAGCTGTAACGCCGATGTCACACCAGGCATGCCGTACATCCTGGCCAACCCCACCCAACTCCCTTCTCTTTCTTTTTCTTTCCATGTCGTCCCTCACCCTCCTCTTCCGACTTCCCTCCTACATGCCCATCTCTTGGGCTTCCAACGAATCGAGCCCGCTGTCACACGATCGTGGTGTTCCTGCCTCGTCCCCGCCTGTACGAGGGCAGTCGCGCGAGTGGCCTTGGAGCCCTGGAAGCGTCTCGCCGAGGAGGAGGGCGGTGAGAGAGACCGAGGGGAAGAGGGGGTGGAGGCTCGGAAGAGGACGGAGTAAAGGACGAGGGGATGAGAGGGAGATGGGGGGGGATGGGGGAGAAGAGATCCGAGCAGGCAACGAGCAGAAATCGAAAGGTCCGCCCCGTGCAATTCTGCTTTGTCATCAGTGCATTCGCTCTGGATCCCCCGCTGCAAATCCCGACCACGCACCATGCGCTCGCATGTACCAGAGCAGAGGAAGAGGCTGAGGAAGGCTGCTTTCACGACTCTCGTCGCGGGTGGCCGCGCACAGTCTCTCGCCAGTCTGCCGCAACATGCACTCGCGCATGCGGGCGGGCGGGAGGCCCGACCATCAAAGACTGCTCACTCTCCCGTTGCTCTACTTCCCCTTCTTCCTGCGCCTGCTTTATCCGAAGTCCTGTTACCACCGCCCCTCAGCCGCGTCATCCCGCCCCCTGTCTCCGCCCTCCCCTCCCACCCGCCACACGAGATGGCCCTAGATCTTTCAATCTTAATGCAAGTCGGACGCCTCTGGCTCGCGGGTGCGATTTGGAACTGTGCGCCAGAGCTCGTGCGTACTGACGCGCGCGCATTGAGTGCCCGTGACGCGCCCGTGCGCGTAAATGCAACGCCGTGCGAACTGAGTAGACGGGAATGCAACTGGGAAAGGGGAGACACTCATTCGTACGCACCAGTAGCACCGCGTCGCACTCAAGATCACACGCGCTGTGTTCGAACGCATCATGCTGCTGCAAACTGAGAAAACGTGAACGCCGGATATGTTCTGAACTGTGCGAGCATGAATACCCCCGCATGCTAGCATGCCTCGCCCATGCATATGCTTGCCCACACGCGCACACACACACACACACACACTTGTTGAGCAGGGACCGACCGTCCCGGCATTCCTATAGTCCTACCACAAAATGTTCTTAGAACCCAACAGTGTTCTAAGAACAAAAACGATGCTCTTAGAACATAAACCTGATGTGTTTAACCAAGACAGTCCCAGCTAGACATGTTCTAACAACATTTCGTGGAAACCACAAAAGGTTCTTAGAACATTGTTTGGCAGGGCTATAAGCGAGCCAGGACGCTTCGCCACTGCTTGACTTGTTGGCGTCGCGGCCACGCGCGCGGCGGCCCAGCGCAGGGCAAGTCAAGCCAGGAGAGCGCGGGAAGGGCCAGCTCCGGCTGCGTGGAGGAACTGGATCCGCCCATATGGGGATCGACGGCAGCACTCGCGGAGGGGGCAGTCGCGAGGGGAGCGGCCTGGATCCCCGCTCCTCCTCCTCCTCCTCCTCTTTTTCCTCCTCCTCCTCCTCCTCTTCCTCCTCCTCCTTCTTCCTCGAGCTCCGTTTTTCTTCCTCACCTGCCCGTCCTCTCAAACACCTTCTAGCTCAAACTTCTCCTCCTCCTCCTCCTCCTCCTCCTCGGGGCAGGGGAAAGAAGCGGGAACGAAGGGGGGGAAGCAGGACGGGCGAGGAGCGGTACGACGGCGACGAGCCGAGGCAACGACGCGCACACGTCGCTCTGCCTCCGCGGCCGGCCGGTCCAGCGGCTCGGCGCGGAGAGGCAGCGGGGCGCGACCAACGTCACTGGCGAAGAGCTTCGTCGATGGGAGGCAGCCGCCGAGGGGTCGCGCGTCCAGGAGAAGGGGCGTGCACGACGACAGGCACACGCAAGGCCCAAACATGAAGGGGCCCCAGGACACACACACACACACACACACACATAAATACACACGAATTGAACGAATCCCCATAGTTTCCCATATGTTTGGGGTTTCTGTCTTCCCCCCCACTGCCCATATTTTCCAATGTTTTCTGAGGAATCGAGGATTACTTGTGTCTGTGTGTTTGTTCCTCTCCTGAGTCCAGAAGAAGGGGCGTGCGCGACGACAGGTGCATGCAACAACGCCCAAGCAGCTCGCGGAGGAACAGAGCGCGGAGAGCAGCCACAGCACGTCGGAGCGAAGGCAGCCGGCAGCAAGACACGCAGAGGCACACACACACACGCGCGCGCGCATTTCTCCCGACACGCCCAGGGGTTGCAGTCGGCGGGCGCAGCGATACAACACATGGCAGTGCGCAGCGCAGCTTGGCCGACTTCTGCGGGAACGAAAAACCGCACGTGTTGCCCTTGCACTGACACGATTTTCGGTCGCCTGCAACTGGAAAGGAGAACCACTCGAAGGCTCAAAATCGCACGCCGCCCCACGAAACGCAGCAACGCCGGGCTAAGGGAAGCACCCATGGGCGCCCTGGACGTCGGAACGTGAGACGGGGAGACGACGCTGGGCCTTCACTGGTGAAGGGGAACTGGAACACACAAATAAATACACACAAATAAAAGTATCTCCCATATTTTCCCATATTTTCTGGGTTTTTGTCTTCCCCCCCACTTCCCATATTTTCCCATATCTTCTGGGAATCGCCGATTTATTATGTCTGTGTGTTTTCTCCCCTCCTGAACTGGGCAGCAGCGGGGGGTGGCGGGCAGCGGGCAGGCAACCGCACGCACACACACACACACACAAACACGCTGGCGCACGCTTCTCCTCCAGCGGCCGAGCGGCGCCCCTGCAAGCGCAGCGGGCCACAGGTTGCCAGCCCGTGCGCCCCACCGCAGCCCGGCCGCCGCTCGATCTCCTGCGGCCGCTGACTACAAAAGCGTACTCGAGCGTCACTTCCACCTGACGTTGGACACGTTGAGCCGCGCTAGGCGTGCCGGCGTGCAGAAGAGTGATAGGGGGGGCTGCGTCAGGCGGGCGCGCACACGCTCGCGCTCACGCGCCTCGTCGGCGTCGCGGCCACGCGCGCAGCGGCGCGGCGGAGCAACGCAAGCGGCCGAGAGCGAAAGTGGGCGCGCGGCGAGCGGGCCCAGCTCTCAGACGCAAGGCGGCGCCCAAACTCACCGCGCGGCACGACTCGCTGAGGGGGCAGCCGCTACGGGGGGGCGAGGGGGGGGACGACGGAGGGGGGGGGGGGAGCGAGAGAGGGGGAACGAAAAAATGAGGCAACTGGCGCGGTGGTGCAGTGCGCGCCAATAAGTAGTGGCTGAGCCGCAGAGGGTAGGCCAGCACGGCGCAGTGGTAGGCTGGGGGGACAGCAAGCGGAGCCGAGGAGGTGCGGAAGCAACGTGGAAGGAGTGGGAGCGCTTAGGCAGCCGAGCCCAAAGGTGGCGCGAACGAAAGGAGCCACAGAGGAGGGCAGTGCCAGCGGCGCGCGTCCCTCCCCGACAGCGGCGGGGAGGCTTCGGAAGAGAGGTGCGGCTCGAGGTAGGTGCGGGGAGGGGAATCCCGTCGGAGCTCCTGCTCTTCACCCTCACATGCCTTCCCTCGTGATTCCTCCCCCCCCCGCGCCCGCCGCGCACGAGCGGAGGTGCAGACGCGGCAGCCTCGGCGCGGCGCGGGCCCTCAGCCGAACATGTCGAAGTCGTCCTTCTCCTCAGGCGCAGGGAACGAGGCCGTGGGCCATGGGCGCAGCCCCCGCTTGTTCCTCCTCTGTCCTCCGTCCTCCTCCTCCTCGTGTCCTTCCTCCTCCTCCTCCTCCTCCTCCTCCTCCTCCTCCTCCAACTGCCTCTCCTCCTCCTGTTCCTCCTCCTTTTCCTCTTCCTCCCTCCTCCTCCTCCTCCTCCTCCTCCTCCTCCTCCTCCTCCTCCCCCTCCTCCCCGTTTTCCTCCCACCCTTCCTCCCGAACATGGATGCTGAGCCTCCGAGCCAAGCACAAGTGCCGAACACAGCCTCTGGCCAGAAAGGCCGAGCACAGGTGCCGAGCATCCGGGCCGAGCACAGGTGCCGAGCACGGGGCCCCCCATGACCCCCCCTGCTTGCCCTTCCCCTCCTCCCGCGCGGGTGGTGCCGAGCACAGGTGCCGAGCCCCTGGGCCGAGCACAGCCCTTGGCAGAGGTGCCGAGCACGGTTGCCGAGCCTCTGGGCCGAGCAGACGTTCTGAGCACAGCCTCTGGCCAAAAGTACCGAAACGCAGGTGCAGAACCTCCAGGCCGAGCACAGGTGCTGAGCACGGGGGCACCCTCTCGACCCTCCCTCCCTCCTTCCCACCCTGCTTCCCTTCTGCCCGTCCCCTCCCTTCCTTATCTCATTCCCTCCTTGCGTTTTCCACGGTGAATGTCCAGCAATTTGTATTCCAGTGAAGCCAGCAAATTGCTGGGGCCCGCTTACCCTTTGCTTTGACCGGGCCCTGGGACGTGCTCCTTTGCTGCACCTCGCCGCGAGGTTTCTGGGGCGCGGGTGTTGTCGCGTACGGCACTCTTTTGCTCGGGTGGCGTATAGCGGGCCGCCTGGGCGGCCGTTGGAGTAGGTTGGACCCCCGTGGGGCGCATCCCCACGCGCCGTGCAAAACACTTCTGCCCTAACGGCGTGAACGCTCCATGTCATCGCCCAGCCCGAGCTCTCGCAAGCAGCGCAGCGCGGCTGCCACGGGGCCAGCGGCGCGAGCAGCTCCAGCGTTGACTGCGGCAGCCGTGTGGCGCCACGAAGTGAGGTCGAGCTGGCCTGCCCGGAGCGCCCGCGCAGCCTGCAGCGCCGGCGCGACGCGCGCTACCGCCTTCGGGCCCAGGCGCCACGGACGACGCCGAACATGATCTCAGCCGCTGCGCGGGGCCCGTGGCTCGTGGCAGCCTTGAACATTGGCGGCGCGGCGGAGATGCGAGCTCTCCGTCGGCGGGGCGACCGCAGGACGACCCGTAGGTACCCGCAGCAGCGCCCTCAGCGGCCCCCATCAGACACCGCCGCCGGAAAAGGACGGGCAGGACGCGGAGGCGGGCAAACTGGCCGCAAGCCAACTTCACACGCGCGGCGGACACTGGGTGCTTGCGCCGGCGGCCGGCGACCGCGATGACCTCGAGGTCGCGCTGTCCCAACGGTGATCGATGGCATCTCGTGCTGGAGCCACCGTTGCACCGTGGCCAGGTTGGCGAACTGCTTGCTTTTGACCTCGTGCAGCCGCCAGTCCATGCCTGCCTCTTACGCCCGAGGGGTACGGGTGGCCTTGGCGACGGCCTCGGCAATGGCATCTGGGTCCCCGCGCGCCCGCGTCGTGAGGTCGTCGACGTGCGCGCGGCGCTTCCAACCGTCGCGCGCTCGCCCAGTGCGCTGGAACCACGGCCGGACCGGGACGCTCAGCGCGAAAACTGCCAGGGCGCAACCAAGGATAATCCCGCTGGTTGGCCGCAAGCCACTGCGAGCGCCGTCGACTCGCAACCGGCGGGGGGCCGCGTAGGTGGCGAGGAGCGGGCCGCGTAACCACTTAGGCGCGCCAGCTCGCGTCAGCACCCGCTCCAGGCCGGAGCTGAAGGCTGACGTGGTCGAAAGCCCTCTGCCAATCTAGGGCGCCACCGCAAATGGCCTCTCCAGAAGCCTCCGCGGCCTCGAGCTCGAGGGCGAAGTCCCACGCGAGCCCCTCGGAACCGATGTCGCCGTCAGCGTCGCCCCGCGCCGCGCGCCATCGCGCGAACAGCTGCGCCCTGCCCGCGGCCCAGACGCGGAGTAGCCAGATCGGCCTGCGGCCCATTGGCACGCCGTCGCCGGGCTCGGGAAAGAGCGGGCCCTCGGGCCCGCGCATCTCATCTGGCCATCGGCCCGTCTGCTCGACGGATTCGAAAAGCTCTACGACCCATTCCAGCATCTCGTGGGGCAGGAGGCGACGCTCCGCAACTGTCCATCCGCCCAGGCCGGGCGCCATGCTCTTCGCCATCGCCCAGAGGATCGCCTGGGCCAGGTCGGCCGTCCACGGCTTCCGATCTGGGAACGGGGGCAAGGATTCCAGCTCGACGAGCCACTCCTCAAGGCGGGGGGTCGCCGGAACGGGCTGCTGCCAGTGCCCGCCAGTGATGCTCCATGTAGCGGAGCTGGGCTGCAGCGCCGCCTCACAGGGAGCAGCGCCAGCGTCGTCCACCGGGCGGCGAGACCGAGTCCCCGGCAGCGGCGTCAGCAGGAGGGTCTGGCACAAGGGCGGCAGCCAGGGCGCCATCCGAGCGGATCCATGCGCGCAGCTGGCCTCCGCCGTTGCCCATCGCCTGGCGCGCCCGCTCGGCGCTCCCAGCAGACTCGTCCCTGGCCAGCGCCGTGGCGACGGCCCGCGCCTGGCAGCAGCCGAGGCCCCAGCAGCTCGCGACGTGGCGCATGCAGCGACGCCGCCGCAGCCAGAGCGGCGTGGCGTCGGCAGGTCTGTCGCTGGCCTCGCCGCCGGCGCCTGAGGCACGCGGCCGACTCGCGTGCCACCGCGTGGCGAGCGGCTCCAAGCATCCCATGCGGCGGCTCAGCCACTTGCGCATGGCAGCCTCCGGCGCAGCCCAGGCAGCGTCAAGGCGACCGTCGCGAAGGCCAGCGCGACACGCTGCCCCTCGCTCTTGCCGCACCTCGTTGGCGACACTCTGCCGAGCGTCTGGCCATCCATTCGCCGCAGGCCCAAGGAGCATCAGAGGTCGCCTCCGCATAGCTGCACGCTCAGGCGCACCGACGGCCAGCTCCACCTCGAGCGCCGCATGCGTCGCGAGGCCAAGATCCCAGCGCGGCCCTGCAGACACGACATGTGTTCATCGCCAGCAAATTGGCGAGAACATGATCAATTTTGGATGTGCTACTTGAGCTCGGTAAGCAGGTGTGCCCAGCCTGGGCCAATACGTCCTGCCAGCCGGCCATGGCCAAGAGAGGCTCCACGCTGGTCCCATGCAGCACGAGGTTGAAATCCCCCGCACGTCGCCCAGCGACCGCAGCCACGAAACCGCTGCCAGGAGCAGCGCCTCATTGTCCTCGGCGGCGGCCGGGCCGTCAGCATGGCCATAGACCTGCACGATGTGCCAAGCTCGCCGGCCTCCGAGGGTGGAGGACAGCGTACTGCAATCGGCACGCCTGCTCCGGGGTGAGGCTGACCGTGTCCACCGCGCGGAGGCCGTGCAGTCCCTCCCGAGCAGGCGCGTGCCGTCGCTGGAGGCCCCGAGCTGCATGCGGAGGCCGCGGCGTCGGGCTCCGTCGACCACGGTGGCAGCGCAACCGTCGTCGACAGGCACTCGGGCCTCCTGCGCGCAGGACACGTCGGCGTCGGCGTCGCCAGGAGCCCGCGCCAGCGGCCCCGCCAGCTCGCGACATCAGCCACGGCGATGCGTGCATTCCTCGTCTCTGGAGGGGCCCTGGGCCACACAAATAAATACACACAAATAAAACGATTCTCCATCATTCGTATTTTCCCATATTTTCTGGGTTTCTGTCTTCCCCCCCACACTTCCCATATTTTCCCATATTTTCCTGGGAGTGCCACCCGCTCCACCGCGCGGCCGGCACCCCCTGCACACTTTCTGACTCGCGGGTCGGAGAGCGCACCTCTTCCGGTCGAAGCTAAGCGGGCCGCGCGAAGCTTGAATTGACAAAGAGGGGGGGACAGGAGGAGCGCGGCCTCACGGCAAGGCCAGGACCCCCTGCATACACGCGGCCGTGCCGCACCGCGCGCAGCCTCAGCAGCACAGGGTCCTGCCCCCCCCAGGCCCCCTCGGGTCGTGACAAAGATCACGACGGGAGGTTTTCGCCAGTTTCGGCCCCTGGGGGGCCCTTACCGAGCCTCGGGACCGTCAAAAAACGGCTCGGGATGAAAAAGCGGTCCCGGGGAAGGGGTCCGGACCTCTGGGGGGAAAAAATCATGACGTCGGTGGTCTGGGCCCCCCCCCCCCCCGTGCGGGGCGCACACCCCTGGGCGCAGGGAACGGGCGCCGAGGCCGAGGCTCGGCCGGCAGCAGGAGCCCCCCGGGCCCCGGCCTCCGGCGGAGGTGAAAGCCTTCGAGGCCAAGCTGGCCCAGGCCAGCTCGACAGCGAGGGCACCGCATGCTGTGCGGGCAAGATTCATGTCCATATCCAGTGCCTGTTGGACTTTTTTGAAAGCGGCGCCACAAGGCCGAGGCGCACTGGATATGGATAACAATCGAGCCTCTAGGGGGCAAACTTATCCATATCCAGTGCGCCTCGGGTTTCTTGGGAAGGGAGCCCGAAACTCCATACTGCAGTGGATATGGACAGAAGTATTGCCCGCATGCTGGCTGCTGGGGCCCCGCCCCCTCAGCACGGAGGTCGAGTTCCAGGCGAAGGTCCGGTCCCTCTTGAAGATGGCGCAGCGCCTGGAGCGCTTCGGTACCATCCACGTCCGCGTCGAGATGGTCGAGCGCGAGGCCTGGCGGATCTTCCACAAGGCCCAGCCCAGGGAAAGGACGGCGAGCGAAGGCGGGGGCACGCGGAAGTGGGCTCTGCGCCTGGGTATCTCCTGTCCAAGGCAACGAAGCGGGTCATCACCAAGGTGAGCGTCCAGGCCGTTGCTTCGACCGGCATTCCGGGTGGCGAGTGGCATTCGTGCCAACTTCGAAGAGTATGCGGACCATTGGGTCGCTGCCTTCGGCGCCATGGCCCGGGTCAGCTCGCTGATCGCGACGTGCGACACAGGACCCCTCTCCATGCACGCCTTCCTCGCGCCCCAGAAGCCCCTGGAAGCGTAGAGGAGGGGGCGTTCAGCGCATTTAGCGCCAACTGCTACAGGCACCGTCCGCAATGGCTTGAAGCCGCTGTGGCCTCTCTCTCTCTCTCCCTCTCTCTCCCTCTCTCTATCTCTCTCTGTCTCTCTGTGTCTCTCTCTCTCTCTCTCTTTTTTGTTTTCTCTCTCTCTCTCTCTCTCTCTTTCTCTCATTCACTATATACATATATGTGTTCCCCTCCCCCACAGGACTCTTGGATAAGCGACAGCAGGCGCCCCGCGCGGGGCGAGAGAATCGCTTCGATCATCCCGATTGTGCTGCCGTCGTGCTGGCGTTGCCGCTGCCCCTGGAGGCCCTCCTGCCCTACTGCCTCCGTGGGATACCGAGCGCGCAGGGCTTCTTCAGCTCGGAGTCGAAACTGCGTTTGCCGTTGTTGTGTTTGGGCCACGGCGATGGCGCACATCCATCCTCCTCCTCCCTCGCCTATCTTCTCTGGCCTCTGGGGGCCCCGCGTTGCCTCGGAAGCCTGGCGCGGTCGGTTGCGCATTCTGGGGGTCTGCTCCGCCGCGACCGTCGGGCTGGATCTCTCGTCGAGCTCTGGCTGGGGTCGGCTCGCTCCCTGCCCGCGGGTTTCGGCCTCGGTGCCCTGGTGGGGGTTCTCGTCGCCGTCGCCGCCGCCGCCGCCATCGTCGCCGTCGCCTTCGTCGTCGTGGTTGTCGTCGTTGACGTCGTCGTCGTCCTCCGTCGTCCGTCGTCCGTCGCCCGACGTCGTCCGTCGTCCGTCGTCCGTCGTCGTCGTCGTCGTCGTCGTCGTCGTCGTCGCCGTCGTCGACGTCGTCCTCCGTCGTCCGTCGTCCGTCGTCCGTCGTCGTCGTCGTCGTCGGACGACGACGTCGTCGTCGTCGTCGTCGTGCTCGGCCCCGCCCGCAGGAGCTTCCACCTCGGGCCCCACGGAGTAATTACGTTGTGCGCTCCTAACCCCCGCGCCAGGAAGCACGGGCGCGCGTCGTCCTCTTCCTGCCTCTCCCCCCCGCAATGAGGTGCGGAGCACAGGTGCCCAGCATGAACCCCGCGACCCTCCCTCCTCATCCTCCTCGCCTCCTTCCTCCCCTTCCTCTCCCCCCTGCCTCTCCCCTCCGCAGTGAGGTGCGCAGCACAGGTGCCCAGCAGGAACCTTCTGTTGCATCCTCGGGGGGCCCTGTCTGTCCCGTCGCGGCCCCGTCCGCGTCGAATCCGTGCCGAGTCCAGGTCGGACGCGTCGGATCCGTGTCGAAACCGCGTCGAATCCACGCCAAATCCGCGTCGAGTCCGCATCGAGCACGCGCCGGGCCCCCAAAAAGACACCATTTTTTGGGACAGGCGAGGTCCCCCGAAGATGCAACATAATGAACCCCGTGACCCTCCCTCCCTCGTCCTCTTCTCCTCCTCCTCCCCTCCCTGCTCCCCCTCTGACTCGAACGGTACCCTGCCTCCTTGCCCTCCCAAGGAGCGGGGGCAGATTGGGGATCCTTTACGGCCAATCCCCGGCCTGCCCCCCCCTTCAGTGGTCTCGTACGTCTCTTCGCGCCATTCCCTCGAAGAGACGCAGGCAGGCACTCTTTGCTCATGGTCGATTCCGTCCTGGATCGAAGTCAATGGCACCCGATCGCGAGAACATGTTGAACACATCCCAGACTCCCGCGCTCTGACACGATACGGTTGGCTCGTTGGAGCAATCCTAAACACCCATCGTATTCATTTCGGAAGGTGTAAAAATTGCCAACATATCGGTATCACAATGGATCTCAAGACGTTCCTGCTGCTCCTCCTCCTCCTCCTCCTCCTCCTCCTCCTCCTCCTCCTCCTCTTCCTCAACTTATCCGATATCCTTCCGTTCCACCCTCCTCCCTCCCCTACCCCATTCCCACTCTCTCCCCCTGTGCTCGTCTTAGTACTCCTCCACCTCAACATCCTGCTCGTCCTCCTTCTTTCTGGGCATATCGACAGCTAGCATTATATAGGCCTCAGCGGCTGTTTTGAGCACTACTACTGGATCAGAGACGCAACAGCAGAGCACGTCAAAGGCATGCATGGAAGATGCAGAACAAGAGACAGCACAGGGAAATGTGAGATAATCAATACTGCACATAGTCCCTCTCTTCTCTCTTAATCGAAATCCTGACCATCCGACTCCCTCCCACCTGGGGGCCTCTTGTTAACTCGTGCTGAGCACCTTCGTCGCCACCCTTCAGATCTGCCCAACATCAGATCAAAGGTCTCTGGATCCTTCCAGGGGTCCATCCTGGCCAGTTCTGTCTCCTGGATCACCTCTGACTGCCCTCGAACCTGGATCTCCTCGAGCTTCAAACCGCTCTACGAAAAGGCCTCAACGAACAACTGCGGCAAGCGCGGCGCGCGCCGGCGTGCACCTGGGAATCCGGAGCGGCTCCTTCGGCTTCGAGACCGGCTCGCCCACGCCCGTGCCCGACTTTATCCTGCCCAAGAGCAAGGAGCACGGTGGGAGAGCACTGCCGTTTGAGGCCGCCCAAATGGGGGTCGAGTGGATCGGGTCGGAAGATCGGCGATGCATCACCGACGTCGAGGAGGAGACCATCGGACTCGAAACCGCGCTGCACCGCCGACGTGGCGCGATCCTCCAACCCCATCTTCTCTGGCCCCAGTTGGGCGGCCTGGAGCTGTGGGTGGTAAATGTCAACCCTCAGATCCGAACGCCATGGCCACGTCACGCCGGGATTTGTTTAGTCACTGCTCGGCATCGGGTGGCCTTCCCTGGGGTCTGGGGCCGTCCGAAAACGGCTCATGAAGTACGGTCGAGGCGTTGACCTAAGGAACCCTAAATAAGGAACGAGGCCTCTATTTCCCATAAGTTGAACTTCGATTTCGTATCGAAAACCGAAGGAAAATCCAAGGCAAGCTGCGAAACACTTAACACGGAGCCCCTCCCCAACGAAAAGGGTTCCTTCTTCAGGGCCCCGACTGTAAAGCTGGCCCTGGGGAAGGGGTTCATGTGTACCGGTGGCCACACCATGAAAAAGTCACGGCGTCGGGGGTCTGGGAAAGAGGGTAGCAGACGAGACGAGGGTGAGGGGACAGCGGGGACGAGCGGGAGATTGAAGGTGAGTGGGCGCATCCAGATGGCACAGTCGCGATCGCGTCGCATCGATACCCAGCCTTTACCCGACCGATCCTACCCTGCTGTTTCTGTGCTCGCGCACACTGGTAAACCCACTACAGGCTGGCAAGGACACAACCGCGGCACCAGAAATTTAATCCGCCGGCCCCCTTGTGGGGCCACCAGGTGTGGGGCGAAGGTTCGCAGTTTCCTGTGCCAATTGCAGCTTCCAGTTTTCACTGTTACAGTTCTGCCTCTTGCTGCTTACTGTTTCTTGTTGATGGACCGCGCGAGGGGGGGAGGCCCAAACGGGCAGGTTGTGCTTTGAATTGCTGGGGTGGATAAAAATTTACGCCCCTCACGCAGATCGGCGGGGTCAGGGTTCAAAAACACAAGGGATCTGCCACATTTCTGAAATTCGGTGGCACCCCTCACTCAGATCGGCGGTGTCAGGGTCCAAAAACACATGGGATTTGCCTAATTTCTAAAATTTGCTGGCACCCCTCACGCGGATCGGCGGTGTCAGGGTCCAAAAGCACAAGGGATTTGCAATATTTCTGACATTCGGTGGCACGCCTCACGCAGATCGGCGGGGTCAGGGTCAAAAAACAAGTGAGATTTGCTACATTTCTGAAATTCGATGACACCCCTCACGCAGATCGGCGAAGTCAGGGTCCAAAAACACAAGGGATTTGCCACATTGCTGACATTCAGTGGCACCCCTCACGCAGATCGGCGGGGTCAGGGTCCAAAAACATAAGCGATTTGTTACATTTCTGAAATTCGATGGCACCCCTCACGCATATCGGCGGGGTCAGGGTCCGAAAACCGAGTGGATTCTCAACATTTCTGAAATTCGGTAGCACCCCGTCCAAAAACACAAGGGATTTGCAATATTTCTAGAATTCGGCGGCACCCCTCACGCAGATCGGCTGGGTCAGGGTCCAAAAACATATGGGATTTGCTACATTTCCGAAATTCGGTGGCACCCCTCACGCAGATCCGTAGGGTCAGGGTCAAACAACAATATGATCGACCCACGAACCCGGAAAGGAATGTAGACATGTAGGCATGGCAACTTTTCAAAGACACCTGATTGGGCGACGGGCAAATGCAATGCTGAATGTATCGATCTTGATGTACTGTGCCGAAGGCTGTGCCGTGCTACGCCGTGCTGAACTGCGATGTGCCATACCGCGATTGTGCTCTGTATAGCGTTGTGGATCGAGTCCTCCCTGGCATCCGAGTCCTGACCGAAGTGATCTGGATCTTAAGCTCGAGCTGCCTGAGCAGATGGTAGCTGCCCCAGAACTAATCGACAGAGGTGCCATGCCAGGAGGACGCGCCGCGGAACGTCCCAAGGGACGCGCCAGGTGCCAAGGGACGTGCCATGGGGTCGCACCGCGGGTCGTGCCAAGGGGACGCGCTACGGAACGTGCCAATGGACATGCCGCGGGACGTTGCAGGGGACGCGCCGCGCGACGTGCAAGGTGGACTCGCCACGGAACGCGCCAAGGAACGCGCCAAAATGCAACGCTGAGTGTATCGATCTTGATGTACCGTGCCGACGGCTGTGCTGTGCTGGGCCGTGCTGAACTGCGATGTGCCATGCCGCGATTGTGCTCTGTATAGCGTTGTGGATCGAGTCCGCATCCGAGTCCTGACCGAAGTGATCTGGATCTTAAGCTCGAGCTGCCTGAGCAGATGGTAGCTGCCCCAGAACTAATCGACAGGGGGACATGCCAGGAGGACGCGCCGCGGAACGTCCCAAGGAACGCGCCAGGCGACGTGCCAGGGGACGTGCCATGGGCACGCACCGCGGGACGTGCCAAGGGGACGCGCTACGGAACGTGCCAATGGACGTGCACCGCGCGACGTGCCAGGGGGACTCGCCACGGGACGCTCCGCGGAACGTACCAGGCAACATGCCAAGCTGCAATGTTAAGGGTATCGATATTGATGTACCGTGCCGAGGGCTGTGCTGTGCCTGGGCGACCTGGACACGTGAAAACACGCGTTTCGCTCAAGACGTTCTCAGCACAACCTCATGCTAGACATCCGTCTGGGCAATCTGGACACGTGCAGACAAGCGTCTCGATCGAGACTTCCTCAACACATCCTCATGCTAGATGCTAGCCATCCGCCTGGGCAACCTGGACACGTGAAAACAAGCCTCTGGTTCGAGACATCTTCAACAAATCCTCATGCTAGACATCTGTCTGGGCAACCTGGAAGCGTGAAACCAAGCATCTCGCTCGAGACATCCTCAAGACCTGGGCACGTGAACACAAGACTTTCACTTGAGAGATCCTCTGAATTCAGGCCCCCCGGAGAGGACAATCTATAACACAGAACAAGCGTTTCGCTCGAGACATCCTCAACAAATTCTGAAAACCAAGCGTTTCGCTCGAGACATCCTCAACTTCTAATTCGCCGGCCCTCTTCCCACTCGTTATTTATCGCAAAAGAAATCCGCCGGCCCTCTTCCCGTCAAAACTGGGGGGGAACCTACTAAAAGAGAACCCTGGGCCTGAAGCCCTTTCCGGGAAACAGGTCCCGACACTGCTTCACGGCGGCGCCCAGACCTCATGATTTAGTTTTTGCATCTCCCATTATCCGAGACAGGGGGCCGGCGGCATGGGGCGAAGCCCTTACGGATAGTTGTGGCGGGTGTGCAAATCGTGTGGTGACGGGCACAAACAAATCAAGACGCTCCTACGCGTTGCGAGTGGATGCTGAAAAATGGTGACATAATAAACGAATCTGGATACCCTGTGGGATAAATTCTTCAACCAGAACGCCGAGTGTTGGAAGAACAACAATCTCGTATATAATACACGATGGCCTAGAAACAGTCTGGGATCCATGACATCGAGTAACGACAAGTAGAGGGAAGCTGGATGAGCTACGGTAACGATGACTGTACGGATAACGACTATGAGTGAAAACATGATGGACCCACGAACCCGGAAAGGGATATAGACATGTGGAGCATGGACACGTTTTCACGATACCCAGCTGGGCAACACCTCACGAAACATCCCACGAGACACTTCACGAAACATCCCACGAGACACCTCAGGAAACATTCCACGAGACACCTCACGAAACATTCCACGAGACACCCCGCGAAACATTCCACGAGACACCCCACGAAACATGCCACGACGACAGGCAACCACTCAACCAAGGCGGTGTGGTCGTGCTGGGGAGTGGTCGTGCTGGGGTGTGGTCGTGCTGGGGGGTGGTCGTGCTGGGGGTGGTCGTGCTGGGGGGTGGTCGTGCTGGGGCGTGGTCGTGCTGGGGCGTGGTCGTGCTGGGGCGTGGTCGTGCTGGGGCGTGGTCGGTCGTGGCTGGGGTGTGGTCGTGCTGTGGTGAGGTCGTGCTGGGGTGTGGTCGTGCTGGGGTGTGGTCTTGCTGGGGTGGGGTCGTGCTGGGGTGGGGTCGTGCTGGGGTGTGGTCGTGCTGGGGTGGTCGTGCTGGGGTGGGGTCGTGCTGGTCGTGCTGGGGTCGTGCTGGGGTGTGGTCGTGCTGGGGGGTGGTCGTGCTGGGGTGTGGTCGTGCTGGGGCGTGGTCGTGCTGGGGTGGGGTCGTGCTGGGGTGGGGTCGTGCTGGGGTGTGGTCGTGCTGGGGTGGTCCGCACCCTGTGATTTATCGATGGTGGTCGTGCTGGGGTGTGGTCGTGCTGGGGTGTGGTCGTGCTGGGGTGTGGTCGTGCTGGGGTGTGGTCGTGCTGGGGTGTGGTCGTGCTGGGGTGTGGTCGTGCTGGGGCGTGGTCGTGCTGGGCGTGGTCGTGCTGGGGTGTGGTCATGCTGGGGGTGTGGTCGTGCTGAGGTGTCCCGCACCCTGTGATTTATCTATCGGGATTTCAAAAACAAGCGTTTCGCCTGAGACATCCTCAAATTTTAATCCGCCGGCCTCCTTCGACCTCGATATTTATCAGGGAAAGAATCCGCCGGCCTCCTTCAAGTTGGGCGCCGGGGACATGTTTACATACTAAAAGAGAACCCTGGGCCAAAGCCCTTTCCGGGAAAAACACCCATCTCTGTGACTCAAGGCGCCGATATGCATTACGACGATGCTCTTGTTCAATTAGTTTGCGCGCGCAGGAATCACACGCACACCTGAGCGGTGAGCGTTACAGATGATTATATTCAGGTGAAGAACATGCAGATGCTACTTGCTGGATGCAAGTGTGGAGGACCAGCGTGCCTTGCCATACGAGGGTGGAAGGCCAATGTAAGTGAGCATACGAGGGTAGAGCGCTGGAAAGACGTGCGGTCGAATACCATTCCAGCTCTCGCCCAAGCCGACCACGTCAAATGTGTCCAACTTCCTGGTAATCCGCCCTCGCGCCTGCAG